CAGGGCCCAGCAAGCTCAGCAGGTTTCGCGGCAGCAGCAGCAGCAGCAGCAACAGCCACGGCAGCAGACAATGCAAGGCGTGCAGCCTATCAGCGACACGTCGATGAACGGGACGTCGGCGCAGATGAACAACGCCATCGGCCTGACGGCGATGCAGATGGTGCCGCCGGTGCTCGACGCGACGTGGCAGTCGTTTGTCGAGCAACTTGGGTTTTGATCGTGTTTTGTATAGTGTTTTTTGTATCGAGTAGAAACGAAGGAAGGAGGCCGGTTTTATGTGGAACGGGAAAATTAGAAATGCTGTAGAGTGTATGGGAGCAACCGAGGGCGAAGCGTGGCGTTTTGCAACAACAACCGGTTATGTGCGAGCTGTGGTCTAAGGTCCGATACGAAACCGCCGCCGCAGACGAAAGTTGCGCAGAAACCAAGATAGACCCACTACACTTTCATTCATATCACGCGAGAACTTTGTCACGCTTTGGCAGAGAGAAAATCTTTCCAAGCTCAGAAGGACACAGGCCAGCCATAGCCAAGAATTGAGTGATCTGAATAATACATGCAAGCCTTCGGACTCTCTCTGCTTACACCGATTGTTCTCCCTTCCTCTCGTTGTCGTTCGTTTGAGGTCGGAAGCGTGGATTTCACGGGCGGTAAAGGCAAGCGTGACAGTGTCGCCGCGCCAGAGTTGGCCCAATCATGCGTGTGTCACACTCTATCACACTTGGATAAAAGTGTAATTGGCCCATCTTAACAACTGACTGACTGTGACTCGTGACTTTAAGCCGGAAGCATGATGTCGCTGCCATACACCAGACAATACGCAGAAAGCACTATATACAGTTGTTTGTCGAGCTGCGCCCGTTCTGAAAGGTTTCCAACCACACGCCTTCTGTTGTCAGATGCTTATATAACATTTTCTGTATCGATTAGAAATTAGAACGAAGGAAGTCGGCTTTATGCGACAAGATAAAAATAAGGGTTAAGTAGAAAAAATGTGCAAAGAGCACTACCTCATTCACTCCCCGCCCATGTTCGTATCTTCACTCCTCCCCAGAGTCGAGCCCCGTAGAATCAGAGCTGTACAGCTCGTTGCCCTCCCCCAGGTCATCGTCCGATGGCGGCAGCACAAGCACGGCTCCATCGGCAACAGGTACCTGGCGTTGGACGACTTCACCGACGACCGCTGAGAAAGCCGCCAGGTGCAGAGGCGCAAGAGGTGTTTTCGTCTTCAAGACCAGTCGTAGGATGCGTCGCCCTGACGCGGAACGCTTCTGCAAGATGTGCTCCAGGAAGTGGAAGCAGTCCGCGTGCTTGCAGCCACGGGTCAGCACGGGTCTCGGGCAGTGCAAGCGTTCGACGTCGTCAAGCTGCAGCGTGCGCAGCCGCGGCAGGGTGTCTTCCCCGCGTAACATCTTGCGAACCACGCACAGATCACAGCGGCCGCCTATTCGCAACTCTTCGACGTTGTTGAAATGGCGCCGGAAGCGTGCAGACCACGCAGAAGCCGAGTTGATCGCGCTGTCGTGCACGAAAAGCGAGCGTGCGTTCCCGAGCGGTAGGTGCTCGAGCATGCGGTCGAACGCTACATCGCGACGGGAAAGCGCAAGGGAGAAGTCAGGAAGTGGACAGTGATCCAGGACGGACTCCAGGTGCTTCCATCCGGAGACGATCATGTTTGGAAATACATCGATCTTGCCGTGCATCGCAATGCTCAAGATGGGTGGATAATTATCGTTTTCGGTGCCGATAATCTTCGGGAGTACAGGGAGAAGATCTTCTGCTGCCGAATGGTTGAAGGACACTTCGATGACCCTAACACTTGTAGTTGTCGGAATCGTCAAGTGTGCGAGCAGTGCGATACACCAGCGGAGTGCTCCGGTTAAGACCAGGCTACGTAGCCTGGGGAGCGAGACTTGTGTGGGAATCTCTTGTGGATTGCTCTCTCGATTTGAACAGACCAATCTGAGTGTTTCAAGTGCTTGAAGCGGTGCGAGGGCTTGCAAGATGTCGTTTACACTGGGAAATTCGGGGCCGAAACTGTTGTAAGAACCAATTGTGAGGTTTCTGAGCGACGGCAGCAGTTTCACGGCTTCGAGGACGTCTCTACGATCTCCGATATATGACCTCCTATAACTAATGCGCGGAGGTAGTACGTCCCAGCTGAAAACTCCGGTAGAGTCGCAGACGTGCCCCACCTTGAAGGTGTGGCACCGGGGGAAAGCGACATCGGGAGGAAAAACTTCTGCTGTGAACGAGCGTGATTCCCATTCCAAAGAACAAATCCTCGGCATCTGGGAGAAGATCTTCTGGGACTGAGGTGAATTCGACAAATAAGCACCCCATTGGTGGACTGAAACGTGTAACAAGAGCCCTTTCGAGCGTTCGAGGGCTGCGTCAACAAAGCCCAGGGGAGCGGGAAGAGCAAGTGTAGTCCATAGAGAGGATGTGTGAATCGCAGTCTGCCGCCACCTTTGGCAGACATGCAAAACGACGGTCCAGGCACGGGAGATAGCCTGGCTATGCTGAACTGGGTCGAAGCAAGGACAGTACTGGAATATTATTGAGAGTATTTCCGTTGGGAGACGTGAGATATAAGCAAAGCTATTGAGCTCTCTCCGGATTTGTAGAGCAGCTTCTTCGTGTACGGCGAGTTGTCGCTTCAGGAGGTCTTGTCGTTGCGTAGCCATGTATGCCAATGTTCACGCTACAATGCTCGACTCGTTGTAGCTGGTATCAGGTAAAAACGTATAGCAACAACTTACTACGATGGTAAGGCTGGAGGAATATATTTAGACGATCTTGCAGAGCAAGGAGGTGGTTCAAACAAGAACTCAGCGCGCCTTGCGGCGCGCTCTGAAGTGCGCTCCTGAAGTGCTCATGCTAAACTATTTCGGGAATATAGTTCTCACGGTCGCGCTGGACGGCGTGATGCGCGTCTCGGCACCGTCGCCGTCCGTGCTCGCGATCTACTGTTTGGCGTGGCGCATTGCGCAGGAGTGCATGCTGTTCGTGACCGAGCGTTGGGGCATGTCGTAGTGGCTGTCGATATCCACCGTGGTGAATGTCTTTCTTCGAGCCGATCCACCTCGAGCCGGGGGGGAGGCCTGAGGGCTGACGTTGCGACGCAGACACTAAAATCGCCACAAGTCTGTATAGTGCTTGTCTACATCGATTAGAACGGACGATGTTGGTTTTATGCAAAAATAAGAATCAGAGACTGGAGATGAAGATAAAGATGCGCAGAAAGCACTACATGCTACCGGGCAGTAAGATATCAAGTCCTCGTCCATGTGCGTATCTTCATTCCTCTTCAGAGTCGAACTCCGTAGAATCGGAGCTGTACGGCTCGCTCTCCCTCTCCTGGTCATCGCCCGATAGCGGCAGCATAGGCACGGCTCCATCAGCAGGTAATTGGCGCTGGACAACTTCCCCAACGACTGCTGAGAACGCTGCCAGGTGAGGAGGCGCAAGAGGTGCTTTCGTCTTCAGGATGAGCCGCGAGATGCGCCGCCCTAACGCAGAACGCTTCTGCAAGATGTGCTTCAAGAAGTGGAAGCAGTCCGCGTGCTTGCAGCCGCGGGTCAGCACGGGTCTCGGGCAGTGCGAGCGTTCAACATCGTCCAGCTGGTGTGTGTGCGGTCGCGGTAGAGTGCCTTCGCGCAGCATCTTGTGAAACACGTAAAGGTCACAGTGGCCACCTATTCGCAACTCTTCAACGTTGCCGAAGTTGCGTTCCAAGCGTACAGACCACGACGAAACGAAGTAAAACGCGCTGCCGTGCACGAAAAGCGAGCGTACTTCCCCGAATGGTAGATTGTCGAGCACGCCGTCGAGCGTTGCATCATAACCGGGAAGCGCGAGGGAGAAGTCAGGAAGTGAGCGGTGGTCCAGAACGGACTCCAGGAGCTTCCATCCGGAGACGATTACGTTTGCAAACTGATCGGCCTTGCCATGTATTGTAATGCTCAAAATGGGTGCAGAGCTATCCTTTTCGACGCCGATAATCTTCGGGAGTACGGGGAGGAGGTCTTGTGCCACGAAATTGGTGAAGAACACTTCGATGACCCTAACACTTGTGGTCGTCGGAATATCCAACTGCGCGAGTAGTTTGATGCACCAGCGGAATGCCCCGGACAAAACCAGGCTACGTAGCCTGGGGAGCGAGACTTGTGTGGGGATCTCATGCGGACCGTTTCCTCGACTTGAACCGGCCAATCTGAGTGTTTCGAGTGCTTGAAGCGGTGCGAGAGCTTGCAGGACGTCGTATGGGCGAGACAAATGAATGCCGGAGACATTGTAGGAAGCAATTGTGAGGTGCCTGAGCGACGATAGCGATTTCACAAATCTGAGAATGTCCCAACGATGCCCATGACTAGTACCACTGTATAACCTCTCACTAGCACGTGGAGATAGTACGTCCCAGCTGAAAACTCCAGTGGAGTCGTAGATATGCCCCACCTGGAAGGTATGGCACTGGGGGAAAGCGACATCTAAAGGGAAAAATTCTGTCATATACGAGCGTGAATACCACTGTAGAGAAAGGATCCTCGGCATCTGGGAGGAGACCATCCGAGACTGAGGAGAATTCGGCGACCAAGGGCCGCATGGGTGGATCGAAACATGCAACAAGAACCCTTTCGAGTGCTCAAGGGCTGCGTCAACAAAGCCCAGGGGAGCGAGAAGAGCAAGTGTAGTCCATAGAGAGGGTATGTGAATCGCAGTCTGCCGCTACCTTTGGCAGACGTGCAAGACAACGGTCCAGGTACGGGAGATAGCCTGGCTATGCTGAACTGGGTCGAAGCAAGGACAGTACTGGAATATCGTTGAGAGTATTTCCGTTGGGAGACGTGAGATGTAAGCAAAGCTATTGAGCTCTCTCCGGATTTGTAGAGCAGCTTCTTCGTGTACGGCAAGTTGTCGCTTCAGGAGGTCTTGTCGCGTACTAGTCATGTCGCGTACTAGTCATGTCGATATCCACGCTACGATGCTTGACCCGTTGTAACTGGTGTCATGATAAAAAGTGTAGCAACGACCAACCACGACGGAAAGACGCGAATGCGCTCGGAGTGTGCAAAGCAAGGGGATGGTTGCAAGAATTCAGCAAGAAGCTGAAGTGCTCACGCTAGAGGCTCCTTTCGGGAATTTAGTTCTCACGATCATGCTGGGACGCGACGCGCGTCTTGAGGCTCATTGCGTACGCCCTGCTCACCTCTGTCAGTCTCTGCCACTTCTCCCACCCTCCTCGCCATGTTCCTCACTCGTTCAGAATACGGTAAGAGGAATGACAGTATGGTATACTCGGGACGGTGTCTGAAAGCCTTGTCCAGATCGCGGTGTCAATACATTTTCCCCAGAGGGCCGGTTATTCCAAGGTATGCTTTGGCACTTTGACTTCCAAGCTATACGTGCTCATACACCAATCACAGTCGAATACGCTATTGAGGCTATCAAGGTGTGCTTCAAATATCTCGAATTCGTTATCCATACCGTCCTTCTAAGTCCAGCCTGCAGCTAGGATCAACAACTGTCGGAGTATGCACGAAGGAGGGCGTCGTTCTCGCCGTCGAGAAACGCGTCCAGTCTCCCCTACTTGTGTCCTCGTCGATCGAGAAGATCATGGAGATTGACCGCCACCTTGGGTGCGCCATGTCGGGACTCATCGCCGACGCGCGGACAATGGTCGACCACGCACGCGTAACGTCGCAGAACCACGCATTCGTCTACGACGAGCGCATCAAAGTTGAGAGTGCCACCCAGGCGGTATGCGACTTGGCGCTGCGGTTCGGTGAGAGTGTACACGACGAGGAAGCGATGATGAGTCGGCCGTTCGGTGTCGCTTTACTCATCGCAGGTGTCGACGAGAATGGTCCTCAGCTGTGAGGGGGATGGATCTCTGCGCTCATATACACCAACTAATCCTGCATTCAGATTCCACACAGACCCATCGGGCACCTTTGTGCGGTACGAGGCGAAGGCTGTGGGATCGGGATCGGAGGCGGCGCAAAGCGAGCTCCAGGACAAGTGGCATAAGGTGTGTCGCGTAAACGCATAATGGTCGAGGCTCCTCTGAGCCATCATAACAGAATATGACCTTGAAGGAAGCGCACATTCTTACTCTGCGCGTGCTGAAGCAAGTAATGGAAGAGAAGCTCGACCAACACAACGTGCAGTTGGCCCAGGTATGTGCTGAATCGAGAATACACCCCTTGCCCTGTTGTTGAATAATCTTGGCACCAACTAGGTCACGCCAGCGAATGGATTCGAAATTTTGGATGAAACTAGACTAAAGGCACTGATTGACGAGATGTAGCGGACTGCATGTTCCCTCAGCACTTTGTAATAACATGTTTCTCTTTCTCTGAGGTGAAGTTCCGACTGTGTGCTATCCGATGTTTGTTCCGTACTTCGTCCTGGCGTCACGTCTGACACACGTTTGCCACAAAGCCATCGGATAAATAACTTAAAACATCTGTCCTCGATCGTGTATATAATTGGCACGTTCTTAATTCACAAGCACCTCCATATACCCCCGCATCGTCTCTCTGCTACCGACCACGACCACCCACCATGCCCCAGATCGAGCTCACCTCCAACGATCTACAGGAAATCCTGACGTTCACTACTGCTCTTGCGCGTCAGGCAGGCGACCTCATCCTCCGCGGCTCGGAAGCTATTCTCGCGTCTGGAGACGTCGACGAGAAGAAGAATTCGGTGGACCTTGTCACGGAGTACGATGTCAAGGTTGAGGAGCTTGTCAAGGGCGAGCTGAACAAAAAATATCCCGGGTTCCAGTTGTGAGTGCATTCAATCCGACTTTGCCGCGAGACGAGCCCCGTGGACCAAATCGCCACAAGCAGTGCATCTGGGATGCTATCCTCCGCTGGCCTTGCTGCGCATCTCTGGTTTCACCGCTGGTCGCGACAGGCTGCCGTCCCCAATATCGGTATTCGCTCACGGAGTATCTCTCCAGCATCGGTGAAGAGTCCTATGCTGCAGGCTCTCGCCCACCACTCACAGACCTGCCCACCTTCTGCGTCGACCCCATTGGTATGTCCCCCTCAACCTCCACCGCTACGCCGGGGCGCTCCTTAGCTTACATCCTCACAGATGGCACGACGAACTTCGTGCACGGCTTCCCGCACGTCGCGGTCTCCATCGGGCTCATCTACAACAAACGGCCCGTGCTGGGCGTGATCTACAACCCATTCCTCGATCAGCTCTTCACGGGTGCGAAGGACCTTGGCTCGTACCTCACGCTGCGCGGGCAGACCCCACACCGCCTCCCCCTCACACGCCCGCGCCCGCTCCCATCGCTCTCGCAGGCACTCATCGGCATTGAGTGCGGCTCGGACCGTAGCGCAAGCATCATGCACGTCAAGGCTGAGGCGTACCGCAAGCTCGCAGGCAACCCTGCCGAGGGCGTCGAGGGCGGCCGCATGGCGCACTCGCTGCGCGCGCTCGGCACCGCGGCACTCGAGTTCTGCATGGTCGCGCAGGGGGGTTTAGACATTTACTGGGAGATCGGCTGCTGGTGAGTGCCTCAGACATGCAGAATGGGCTTTTGGATTCTGAGGTGCTGCAGGCCATGGGACGTTTGTGCTGGCTCTATCATTGCCCAGGAAGCCGGTGGCATGGTCGCCGGTTCGCCCTCGTCACCTTTGGACAACGACGTGAACGAAGCGGTTCTGACAGGCCGCAAATACATTGTTATCCGTCCCATTGGTGACTCGCCGGTATGTCCATGGCTTTGTGTGCACGCATTGTTCCTAATCAGATACTTTAGACGGAGAAAGGCGTGGATGCACAGAAGCGTCTCATTAAAGACTTTTACGACACCGTCGGCGACTTTACTCCTCGTTGAATAACCGCATCTATAGACATGTATTTAGAGAACATAGAAAGAAGGAATGTACCAGGTAATGAATAAACATTCGCAGCGCGTCTGCAAAACACTACCGAACTAGTGCCGTTCGTATCTGTCAGTTCGAATCTCTTGCTATGCTGTAGCTGTGACAACAGGTTGAATTAGGGTGGGTTCGAGGCGGACACATCACAGGCTTCAAATACATATTAGAGGACCCAGTCGAGGGAGCGTGCCGTGCAGTACGATCATGCAAACCACCGAGTTTCGGCAATGGCTACCAGGTATCAAATGCGAGCAGAGCAATTGATTTTAGCGGCCTATCTGCTCATCTGGTATGTCGCTCTTGTGTTCAATGTGAGGTGGCTGATCTTTCCATAGCACTTCTTGGCACTCCCTCTGCTTCGCTAAACGCTCTTAACTGACTCCTGGTCGCGCTGAGCTCTTGTTGGTCTTCGATATCTCGAACGGCTCGACTAAGCGTTACGTGTGGAGCGGGCAGGCACTTGGATGGTAGAAGCGACAGCATTTGCAAGCTTTGAAGGCAACATAACCATCACAGCTGTTCTGCCAAGGTACGGCACATGTCTGCCGCTGCACCGCTGCCAGGCTCGATACCAGCCGCCCTGTCATATATCATACAGGGCTAGCCATTCCAGCGTACCGACCACCCTCCCACCCTCGGTACGCACCCCACCAACTACCGAGTAGACTGGTCACGAGTCTATGGAGATACGAGTGCAATCTGTTATAGAGGTTGTCCGGGTCAGCGAGGGCGATTTGGCGGACAGACCAGGCCTCGTTGCCGCTAGCGGAAGGCGCAGACTTGACAATCTGGACTGAGATGTATAGGATGGACAGGGAACCAACAAATTTGTACGTGTCTTGGGGGATTCCGGTGGATATAACGGTCTGGCAGGGAGTCGAGTCGAGCTCATCTGTAGCTGCCTCCTTGACATCAAACTGTGAAGAACTGAGTTCACCGTCGTTCAAGCACGTCTGGATGAGTTCGATGATGGCCCATGTCTCTGCAGCGACTCCAGGCCCCGCTGTTCGACGTCTGGTGAATGTATGTCGTGTGCTCGTAGCGGCCATGATCCATGCGGGCACCGCCACATTGTTCGTGCACTCCCGCGTGCTGACTGAGCGGACATGGCCAAAGGCACCCGTGCAGACGTTGCTCGGAGCGTCAACTGTGGCGGGTCGGTCACCCGACCATTCGACGCCTGAGAAATTAACCGTTTCCAGGTAGGTGATATCACCTAGTATGCGGAGCAGGACCCGGAACGACGGGAAGCTGCAATCTCTGAGTGTCAAAGAGGTGATGTTCCGCAACGCGCTCTTCAAATCTACGCTGTGCGACAGCGACACGCGGACGGGCTCGCCTCTGAAATCATGCCGGATATAACGGCACGCGGGGAGAAGACGGACGAGAGCTGTCCAGAGCGAATAACCGGAAGGTCTGATGTGCAAGAAGTATAGCTCGGTGATATGCTCCGCAAGCCAGGCCGACAGCGGAGATCGTACTATGCCACACAGTGTGCGACAGTCCTCCTCACTTTTCAGCTTAAGTCGGGTGAAGAGGTAAGGGCGAAAGTATCGGCACCAGGTTTGCGACACCATAGACAGCGCTGAGAACTTGGCTTTGCGGTCAGAGCTCGCCAGGAAGCCGCAAATGTAGTTACGCAGCTCGGCGGGTAGATCCTTCCAAGAGCGGAGAAACAGTTCACTACCTGGAGGAGTAATTTTAGTGGATATTCGCGCTGCATGTCAAGATAATGACTGTCTTAGACGCACCTATCGGACGACAAACTATAAATGTTTCAATAGACAGGGATAGATTTCGCATGTATACGTCGACCTCCAGAGCGTCGTTATCCTGGTTGCTGTTCATCAACCTTAACGATTTGCGCCGCGACTTGATCTTCGCGGCCTCGTTGTTGATCTCCTCCCACGATCTATACCATATAAGCACTCACGAGCAATAACACTAACAATGAACTCACAAGAGCAATTCGTTGGTCACTTTTCCCATCTGGCGTGATATATACTGTCCGTTAAATTCTGTGTATATCTTCACCGCCTTGGTCAAATCTTGGACGTCCTTAGTTAGCCTGTTGATGTAGTATTAGGTAACCGCGCATAATGCCTAGCTTCAACATGAGAATTAGCACTCATGATAAGGTACAAAGCAAATATCTGGATCATATCTAACACCGCCAAGAGATCGTTGACACAGGCCTGCAAGCCTGGCATAGGGAAACTGCCAGCAACGCCATTGAATATTTCGAGAGCCTGCTTCAGTGCGCCGACGGCAATGTAGACAGCATCCTTGGGGTCGCTGCTCCGTGACTTTCTCCTTATCCAGTCCATCGTAAGTAACAACGACTGGAAGCGAAGAAAAGCTTCGAAAGGCTCGGTCTGCCTGGAGGGGAGACAAGGGGCCGCGCCTTTTCCAAGCTCTTGCCGCGCTCTCGCTGGGAAGCTTTGTATAGGTGACGATGGACGAAGATTGGAGACGAAACGACCTTCGAGCTTCAAGCTTCCGAAGTTGTCTCAGACGTGACGGCCCAGAGCCCGTGACGATGAGTGACAGCAGGAAGAGTGCTCTATGACGTCACGCGTGTTCTCGTCTTCTCTCCCCACCCATCTATGACGGTCCACGGTGGACAAAAATAAAATCTCGAGCTCGCGGACCCTCTATAATCTCATTTTTGCTGCCTGTAATTGATAGTAAGCAAGCTATTGCCTGCCTAGTTGAAGCAATGCTTACCTTTGGGAACGCAGATGGGCTCTGGCATACCAACGCGCATGGTAGGGTATGACCACGCATGAAAGTGCGCAAAAGTGCACATACGTGCATGGCCACCTTTCTTGATCTCGTTGAGCGTTTATCAAGCCACGATGTTTTGCACAAATGTGCACAATGGTGCACCCAAGATTGTGCGCCTTTGTGCACAATTGTGCACATTATCAATAGCTTCACAACTCAAACTTGGATGATAACAACTTGTTTTAGATTCTCATCCTCCAAAACCTTGATCCCGCTCACTAAAAACCGTCCTCGCCCTGATCAAAACTTGTTCTGGTCCCATCAAAAACTCGACGCACTCTATCGTACTTTCCTCTGGCAAATCAGCGGAACACGAGTCACTAAAGGGCAATTGAATGCTATGAGTACATGATACATGACAAATGCTCGAGTTGTTGCAAATACCTTATGTATGGTATGGCCTTGGAGCAAGTGCAGCAGCGAGCAGATCGGACGCAATGCGTGACAGTCCAGACTGTTACGATTGGTCTGTAGTCCCGATATATGTCTTTCTTTACTCTTTATTTCCGGACAGTAAGTGCCTACTCGAATGTTCTACCCTTTTCCAGACGAGTCATTTCCGGTCCATTTCCGGACCACTTCCATTTCCTGGACATTCTCGTACATACGTTGTCCCTTCTCTGCTGATCCTGCAGTAGCTAGGTTAGTATAAATACCAGCCGGAAATGTCGTGTACTTTAGCTTCGGCCTCCTGTATTATCAGTTGCTTTCTATATCATTTCCAGACTTCGCCTAAGTCCATGTTCTACGCTCCACGACTCTTACATTAGGCCGAAGCTCCCTTCACTGGTGACCAGACGTACATGGTCCAACCCTCCATTACCAGAACTACAAGTCGGCGAAGCGCTGAACTTACACCAGAAAGGTGCCGAAATCGAGCACACAGACACCACACTAGCCAATGACGAGACTACCATTTCCGGACACGAGACAACAAGTGGCACAGGTGCAGAGAAGTCATCTGCATACACAGAGACAATGAATCAAATGCCGAAGCGATCGAGGAAATCCCTGATCGGCTTATCGAGGTCATCAGAGACCAACCTGCAGAGCGTATCGAAGCCCGACAAGAGGAAGACTTAGGAGATGACTTCACGGATACTTTTAAAGCCCTCTCAGACACCGACCAAGAACCAGAAGACGTCGATCAACAACCGGAAATGCCAGAAGATAACATGGCAACACAGACAACAATCCTCACCAATGAGGAGCTGTTAGAAGAACTCCTCCAGCGTACACACTTCCAAGGACAAGCCACCATAGCTGAACTACATCAGGCATTGCAATATGTCTATAACCCACCACCGCCAGCACCAGTATGGGCTGCAGCTGCTTATGTCGGAGGTCAAAGACCTCCAGGAGGAATTCCCGGACAACCAGGAGGTGGAGGTGGAGGTGGACCACCAGGAGGAGGACCACCTGGAGGCGGAGGAGGACCAATCCCGAGCAGCTCTAGGACCAAACCCCATTGACCCTCAGCTGCTAGCAGCATTCACTGCTGCCTTGCGCAACGCCCTTCTCCAGGAAGAGATAGGCAAGCCAGCTGAATTTTCCGGAGATATCGAGAAAGCCCGGGATTTCATCCATCAATGCAAGATGTATATCCTCTCCAAAGCCTCACAATTCCCAAATGACCAGGCAAAGATTTGCTTTGCGGACTTGCTCATAAAAGACTCGGAGAAGAAACAACCCCGGAAATGGGTGACGGTCAAGGAGAAGTTGTATCTTCTTCAAAGATGGCCCACCTGGGCTACACATTGCCAAGAATTCCTGGAAGCCTACAAGACAACTGACCCGAAATCCCGAGCCATGGTCGAGCTCCATCAGATTGTCCAGAAAGACCACGAAACGGTCAACGAGTACAACGTACACTTCAATACGTTAATTGCAGAAGCAGAAATAGTCAACCCAGATGCCGACGGAAACCTTCTCCAGCAATATCTTCGTGGATTAAAGAAATCACTTGCACGCCAATTGATCGCCCATATGCCGATCAACGCCACACTCTCTCAGTGGCAACAACAAGCCCTTGAGCTAGACAACAGGCTTGGAATTCTCAGGCATATCAAAAACAGGCAGATGCACCTTCCTACGAATTCTGGAACCACGACAACCACCCCGACATCCTCCACCCGTGACCCCAATGCCATGGATGTAGACGCTCTTAATACCGGACAAAGCGGAATTAAATGCTATAATTACAGAAAATTTGGGCATATTGCCAGAAAATGCAGGCAACCTCAGCAAGCAGGAAGAAGAGGAGCCTACTGAAGAGGAGGAAACCAGAGAGGCAGAAGCCGAGGAGGTAGAGGAAACTGGAGAAACTACCAAGGCGATCCATCTGCAAATCGCCCCTACGTCCAAGTCATTCAATGGGACAGAAATCCAAGCTCCCCTCATCTATCAGCAGTCAGCAACCCAATTCCGGTAGACTTGCACGCAACTCCCACAACTCCATCACGCATTGACATCGACGCTATGTTGAGCTCTATTCCACTATCCGATCTCGATTGAATCATCTACAACTACTACTACAACCGCACGAGAAAGGACGATAACCCGGATTTTACCCAGTGAGGTCAACGCCAGCTGTTGAACCTCTTCGAATTTCGATTTCATCTGTACTAGTAGCAGACATGAAGGCCCAAGCAATGAAATTACCTATTATCATGAAATCGGAAGAAGATGCTGGAACAAGAATTAATGCGCTCATCAACTCCAGAGCCCAGGGCAAGTTCATCGACCGACAAGATGTACGGAGATTACAACTCTGTGAATACCCTCTTGCAAAGCCAATACCGGTATTCAACATCGATGGAACCCCCAACCAACTTGGATTTATCCGGAATTACGTAGAACCCACGGTACAAATTGGTGGCAAAGAAACCAAGGAAAGAATGTTTGTTACTCACCTAGGAAAGCAAGACGCTATTTTAGGAATCGATTGGTTACAACATCACAACCCACAGATTAACTGGAAATATGGAATACTTGACTTCACCACCCGAAAGGTTGTTATGGAAGAAGAGCCAGACTTGGAAGGCAGAATTATCCAAGTATCCTTTGCTGACGACACAAAACTCCTTACCGAACACCTTCTAGTCCAATGCGATGGAGGAGATGTCCCAACAAAAGGATCCCCAGAAGCAGCAGGGTACGACCTTACCGCAATAGAAGACTTGGTCATTCTCCCTCATACGCGAGCAAAAGTACCAACTGGATTAAGAATGAAACCTCCACCTGGCACCTACCTACGTATTGCCCCACGGAGTGGATTAGCACTCAAGGGAATTGACGTTGCAGCAGGAGTAGTCGACAGAGACTACACTGGAGAAATACAAGTCATTCTGGTCAATCACGGAAATACTCCTTTCACAGTCACCAAAGGAGACCGCATTGCCCAGGTAATCGTGGAGCAAATCGCTCAACCACCAATCCAAGAAGTAGAAGAACTACTCGTGACAAGCTGAGGAAACCAAGGCTTTGGATCAACAGGGATAAACGACAGATTCCAGCCAATGTTGGACACCACCATCTGAGCCCTCCATATAGCAAATGACCTAGAAGCACCACCCCTCTTTCGTATCTCATCAACAACCATTGAACAAGGTGACGAAATAACCGGAGATTATGTAGCCACGTGGATACCAAATTCCGGTGAAATCCATATCATTCTGGTCACAACCATGGTCGCACAAGCAACACTAGGGCTCTCCATTCAGATGAAGATCAACCTGGCCATGACTCTTGCACAAGAGGCAGAAATGCGGAAACCTGAGACAACGCTTCCTGACTATCTCCAACCCTACTCAGAGGTATTCGAGAAGAAAGCTGCAGAGAGGTTTCCCAAAGAAAGATCTTATGACCATGCCATAGATCTTAAACCGGAATTTGCTCCTAAAGATTGCAAGGTCTACCCCCTATCTCCGCTAGAAGAATCAAAGATGAACAACTTCATCAATGAGAATCTACGAAAAGGATACATTGCCCATCCAAGTCATCCATGGCTTCTCCCTTCTTTTTCGTTGGCAAAAAGGATGGAGATCTATGCCCTTGCCAAGACTACCACTATCTTAATGAAGGAACAATCAAGAACTCCTATCCACTACCACTGATATCCGACCTCGTCGATCAAATCAAGGGATGGAAACGCTTCACCAAAATGGATCTCCGGTCAGGGTATAATAACGTCAGAATCAAAGAAGGAGACCAATGGAAAGCAGTGTTCAAGACGAGTCGAGGACTTTTTGAACCCACAGTCATGTTCTTCAGACTGTGCAACTCTCCGGCAACCTTCCAAGCCATGATGAATGACATATTTCAAGACATGATCACTGAAGGTTGGATCCAGATCTACATGGACGACATTCTGATCGGCAGAACAGACTCGGCGGATATCCAGCACAAAATGATCTGAGTTGTCCAACGACTTCAAGAAAACAACTTGTATCTTAAACCGGAGAAATGCGTCTTCAACGTTGAGAAGGTAGAATTCCTGGGCATGATTGTTTCACACAACAAGATCGAGATGGATCCGGTAAAAGTCAATGGCGTACTGAAGTGGCCGACTCCCACCACGGTCAAACAAGTACGAGGATTCCTAGGCTTCGGGAACTTCTACAGAAGGTTCATAGATCACTACTCCCACATTGTACGACCACTGGTGGACCTTACCAAAAAGGACGCACTGTTTATTTGGACCCTGGAATGTCAACGAGCCTTCGACAAACTCAAACAGCAATTCACCACAGCCCCCATCCTACTAATGCCAGATCAAACCAAGTTGTTTGTTCTAGAGTGCGATGCATCACTAGTCGCAACCGCTGCAGTACTCCATCAACAGGACATTAATGGCGACTGGCATCCAATTGCCTATCTTTCTCAATCTCTCCTACTGGCCGAACAAAACTACGAGATCTATGATCGCAAACTTCTTGCCATTGTCAGAGCGTTGGAAGCATGGCGACATTACCTCCTCGGGACGCGATTTCCACTTCGGATATTGACCGACCATAAGAACCTGACGTACTTCCGCGCAGCCAGACGGCTCAACCGGAGACAAGCAAGATGGCAATTATTCCTCTCCCAGTTTGATTTCACACTCCATCATTGCCTGGGTTCACAACTAGTACAGTCGAACGCTCTCACCCGAAATTCGGGACCCTCCCATTCCACGGACAACAATGTTGATCAAATCCTCCTGCCAGACACGCTTTTTGCTGAAACAAACATTCGCTCACTACACATCGCTCAATCTCTGCTGATGCAATCGGATGGTCCACAACACTTCACTGCAACAAATACCGATGAGGCGTTACTAGATCGCATTAGAAAGACGGGACGAACAGATGACTACGCAAACTCCGTCCGTACGGCAATGCAAAATAACGCAATCCCATTTCCCGCATGGACGATCATAGATGATTGGACAGAAAACAACAGCGTCCTATACTACCAATCCCGATGCTATGTACCATCCAACCTCACACTTTGCCGAGAGGTCACAAAGCTCTACCATGACGCCCCAGTGTCCGGGCACTCCGGACGGTTCAAAACAGCAGAATTACTGACGCGTAACTTCTTCTGGCCAGGAATACGATCATTCGTGTCCAGTTACATTCAAGGATGCGCAGCATGCCAACAGATGAAAGTCAATACTCATCCGACCACTCCACCACTGCAACTGATACGGGCAACCCACCAGCCTAGGCCTTTTGCATTTGTTACATGCGACTTCATCACCGCACTACCTCTCTCACGAGGTTTTACATCCTTAATGGTCGTGGTCGACCATGACTCTACGAAGGGGGTAATTATAGTCCCCTGCACAAAAAAGACGGACGCAACAATGACGGCAATGTTCTACCACAATCACGTTTTCCGGAGATTTGGAATGCCAGACAAGTTCCTGTCCGATCGAGGACCACAATTCGACTCCCTCGTCTTGAAAGAGCTATGGAAGCTAACTGATGTAGAAGGACGAATGAGCACGGTGTATCACCCACAGACTGATGGAGAAACTGAACGCATGAATAGGGAAATCGAGGCATATTTCTGGATATTCTGTTCTACCCATCCCCACAATTGGGCCGACTACATCCCCAACCTTGAATTCGCATTCAATAATCAGGAACATTTTGTGACAAAACATTCGCCATTCTTTCTCATGTTCGGCTCACATTCTAAGGCACTCCCGACGAACTTCGCATGATCAAAAGTTCCGTCAATTCAAGAATGGCTTTGGATAAGGCAAAAGGCCCATGAAGAAGCAGGAGCGGCCTTAGATTACGCCACGGCTCAAATGGCAGGAAGATTACACCGGAAATTCACCCCATTCACTGAAGATCAGAAGGTATGGCTGGAGATGACTCACCATGAAGACGGTTACCCCTTCAAGAAGATGGCACCCAAGAGACACGGACCGTTCAAAGTGCAGAAGGTCCTTTCGAAGCTAGTATACAAACTAGCCCTTCCAGGCACTATGAAGATCCACTCCGTGGTACATGCTTCCCTGCTCACGCCATACCACGAGACACCACAGCATGGGAAGAACTTCCTAGAACCACCACCAGAGATCATAGACGAGCACGATGAATACGAGGTGGAAGCAATTCTCGCACACCGGCCCTGGTATGGACATCGCCGGTATTTAGTCAAGTGGAAACACCAATCCACGGCCGAGAATTCATGGGAACCAGAAGGCAACCTGAAGAACGCAGCAGAAATCCTGAAAAGGTATAAAGAGGTCAAAAGAATTGCCCCAACCACTCAGCAGCCAACTTCCAAGTTGACTACTACAGCATGGCCCCTTACTCATTCCGCTACTGCAACGGCAGTCCCGAGGCTACTCTCGGAGAGACTACACCTCCCGCATCCTCGACTTCCTCCTCTCCGGTTCAAGAGGAAACTTTGGTTGACCGCAACAGCTCCAAACCCGAACTCACCACCAACGACGTCCAGCAAGGGATTGCCACAACTCTCGAAGAAATTGCTGGCGAATTCCAGCGACACCAGGAAGAGAACCCCGAACCCATCCCAATTCCTCCGGGATTCCACTTTGGAATCCGCGTTCGCATCACCACTCGAAACACCAACCCCCTTGACAACAAATTCAACCCCAACGACTCTCCCGCGCACATCACTTATCTCGGAGACATTGTCAACAACCCCCAACGTTGTAGAGGGTGGATCAACAAGATCAACAACATCGCCCATGACCGAACAGCGCTCCGGGCTTTACTCGATGCGACCGACGACACGACTTCCAGCGTGCTATTTGCAGGAATTGTTGTGGAGAAAGGACGAGAAGTCCAAGCCGGGTTTGACGAGGTGGCAAGGGATGGACGAGCCATCAGGGAGGCAGTCGAGGCAATTCAGCGGAATGCAGTCAATCTTTCTTGACGAGTCGAGAAGCTTAACTGCACCTTTGACGACTTTCGTGTAACAGCACTTGCCTACACGGCAACTGATCAAAATGCCACAGAAGCTGTTAACCGCGTCTGGACACAAGAATTTGGTAACATCAACGTCGACCACCTCGAACCTAGAGAACTCCTCGTCGGACCATGCGCTAGTCAGCGGGTTTATAACCCTCGCAATCTCCCTTGCCCTATATATCGCACCCACGCCCCTTATAATTCCAGCTCGCATGCTTCGCACGAAGGCTCTCAATCCTTTCGAGAACAGACATCACACTCACGCTCTCCTAACCGCACGTGCTTTACGTCCTGAAGTGCCACGGACAAATTCTTCACTCCCCCAGAGTCCTCCTCAACAGCTCCTCGACGAGCGACTCCATACCCGCAACGTCGCCGCTCTGGTAGCCCGATTACTACTGGAGTCATCGGTCGCACTTTCCCTGGGAACTCTGAGGCTGACCCCATTATCCTCGATTGAAATACTCCTACAAGACTTATTCGCAGAGCTCATTGGCTAGAGAAGGAGCTAATGTTACGATCGGTCCGTAGTCCCGATATATGTTTTTCTTTACTCTTTATTTCTGGACAGTAAGCGCCTACTCGAATGTTCTACCCTTTTCCGGACGAGTCATTTCCGGTCCATTTCCGGACCACTTCCATTTCCTGGACGTTCTCGTACATACGTTGTCCCTTCTCTGCTGATCCTGCAGTAGCTAGGTTAGTATAAATACCAGCCGGAAATGTCGTGTACTTTAGCTTCAGCCTCCTGTATTATCAGCCGCTTTCTATATCATTTCCGGACTTCACCTAAGTCCATGTTCTACGCTCTACGACTCTTACACAGACCTGTGACGCTCCATCATGCTCATTCGTCACTCTGCGCCCATCACGCAGGAGCCGATCGCGTGCACGGAAGCTCTCGTCTTCCCTCTCGCGCCCGCTCTCAACACGCTCCTCTGGCCCGCGAATTCGGTATACACCACTGTCCAATGCGGCTCTTCGCCTCGTCTATCGACAACCACCAGACGCTCTGGGGAGACTAGCTGGGAGACCGAGTGAGAATGAGCTGGGGGCTGTGTAGGCACTTGCAAGGTCAGCTGGGCTGCAAGGTACGCCGCCTTCTCAAGGTGGCAAACCGCCAGAGACCGTCTGCTGACCTCTTGATAGAGACCGTGGACCAGCTCTGCAACTATGGACGAACCAAGAGAAGCAGAGCGGCGCAAACTCGTTGAATAGCCGCATGAACGTGGGCGGACGCAATCGAGGTCGATGGCCTAAGACTTGTCTATACGGTGAGCTACACCGCCCCTTCATTTTTAGTGAAGCCGCTCATGCCCCGCTAGTACTTCTTGACACCTGCCCCTGCTGGATTCATCGGACACTCTGGACGAGCCCCTAGATTGCGCCGAACTCTCGTCGACCTTCTGCAGCTCTAATCGACGTCTGGCCCACTCATCTTCCGTGTCCGTCGCTGTATGCCTCTCCACCTCCTCCCTGCCAGCATCGTTACGTCCTACAATGCGCTGCTGTTCGATATCTCAATTTTTCGTCCTTCATGGCAAGCAAAGATGCCGACCGTTCCCGTGAAAAGTCGTCTTCCTAAGCAGGCCCCCTATCACTCGCGGAGATGCCCCAATACGCCCCGTCACTTGGAGACTGTCGGTTGCACCGATCAGGAGGATCCCCAGTACGGCGACCAACTCGTTGCGCGTACGCTTGCGTCTAAGAGTAAGTCCAGTTACTGTCTGACCTCTTCGTCGCTCATAAATCTTCACAGTCAGACACACTTACCGCGCCATCGCATACCCATGCACAAAATCTCGCCTTGCCAACTATCCAATAAAATCCCTGGTCTTCCATTCCAATTCATTGCTCCAGGTTGCACATTCCTCAAGCGCAGGGCCCGCCTCCATGTCGGGCGACCTGCGCGGCCAGAATTCAGATACCCGCCGTCCCCGGACAGTCTCGTGCGACTACCCAGAGGATACAAACTGAACACCGACAATCGGCAGCTGCAGCAATAAGAGCAGCCTATCAGCGAGTTACTCATCACCCGGAAGCCCAGACAGGAAGCCGACGCACAGAGCAAGGGGGTCACTGGTTCTGCCTGTACAAGCGGCAGTAAACTGCTCCAGGATTCCTCAGGCTTCAGGTGAATGTCTCCCGGCCTTCAAGACGCATTTCAAGTTTCGATATCGCCAAGAAGTCGCCAGAGAAGGCGTGCAAGAGCCACATGATGCTGGCCAGATCCGAAGTTTTGCTCGGCACACCTAGAACGTCGAACGGGCCGAACGAACGCCTACGCCTCGAGGCTCCTATCTCTTCCAGGTCCTTTGCGTTTATGCTGGCAGTCGAGGGGAGCACGAGGAATGTGCGAAGGCGATCCGCGGCACCAGGGCGTCGCTGCTGATGTCGTTCGATGTCGTGCGCCTGAGCTCGGCGCTGACCTTGTCCACCTTGGCGCCTCGCTATCGACACGCCCTACGGGACCTGCTATACTCGTCAGACAAGGGGCCCACAAGATGCAAGACGAGGCGG